GACGGACGACGGACGCTGTGCCATGGTAGAAGCTCATTTCGGGCAGGTGAGCTATAATCAGTGCGTTGTCCTTTTGCAATTGGAAAAAATGTGTGACAAACAAATGGAAATGTAAGATATATAATACTTACTTTCCAAAGTTTTCACCGTCTTCGATGGTTTCTGGAAGTTTCCTCCCTAGTGTTTCCGGCAGTAGCAAGCATAACAGTCCTGCAGTGATTGAGGATGCACCAAATATACCCAATGGGAAGGCTTGTCCAAATTTACCTCCTATCAGTTCTCCCTTTAAAAAAATAACGTACTGTAAGACTTGTTCTACAGACATTTTCCAATCAACTATACACGAAACTTTACTGAAGTGTATTTAAATTACCTAGAATTCATAATATTATTAAATTCAATGTAATATCACCATCAAGGTGATAAGTATTTTCACTGCGAAATAAACATCTTCATTTGCTACTCGAGAAGCGTGTACATTGTATGTGTGTGAAAGGAAACATTAAGAAAATACAAAATACATCTACTAATGACGAGCCACTAATGATCGATTATTGACGAGCCATTAGTGATTCAAAATTGATGGATTATCCGTGATCGATTATCGACGAACCATCAGTATTCGATTATTTTACGGCAATCAGTAATCGATCATTTTGACGGTCATTAGCGATTGATTTTTGACGGGTCGGCCATCAGCAATCGATAATTGAATGGTCACGATCAGTCAAGAACGGACTATGACTGATTAAACATTTACGGGCTTCCTATGATCGATTATAAACGGGCCATCAGCCTTTTATCGATTATTGACGGGCCAACACTAATCTATTTATGGCGGGCCATCAGTGGTCGATCAATGCTGGATCATCATTGGGGTTTTAATGAGGAGTCATCAGTGATTAATCAATGAACGTTGGCTCATTACAACTATTTGTTAAGGAGCCGGAAAGCATTACAGGAACATCACCATCGATCAGTGACTGGTCATCATCTATCGAGCAATGACGATGAAAAAAATATATTGTATAAATGACTTACAGATTGAGCAATATATGGAGCCATCATGCCTCCTATTCTTGCAACACAAGAGCTGGCTCCCATTCCGCCGTTCCTGACAACGGTAGGGTACAACTCCATGGAATATACATAAACAACACCGAAGGCAGCTGCCGAGCCCATCTTCCCAATCACGGCCAGCCCAAGGGTAAGCGGTTCCAGCTCTGTCAACAGAATCAAATTGTATTGAGAAAAAACCATCAGTCATTTGATCATTGTTTTTCAAAACTTATTGTTTTACAGAATGCACAATACGTAGCAAATAAACAAAAAGTCGGGGTGTTTCCTCTCTCAAACATATAAAGAGTAGTCAGTGTATTTAAAGGGTGAAGTAAATTGACCTAGGTATATATATTCACATGTATAATTTCACTGTATTATATGAGTACTACAACAGCACGTATCCATCAACGATAAAAATTATCAACAACTTGCTTAAAATAAAATTGATTTTAAATGGAATTTTGTCCTTGCACATTATGCTCACCTTCTCCTCCATATAGAACAGTAAAAATAGTGCACATACAGGCAACTCCTCCAACCATCATACACAATGACAAGAGCTTTCGCCGGCCCATAGCGTTGAGAAGAAATATTGTTGAACCATTGGCAGGGTACTCCACCACAGCAAGGATAAAGAACTTAAGGAAAAAGTTGCCTCCCAGATTGCCAGAGTGCATGGTCACACCGTAATACATCATGCTGATCACCATCCTAGGATCAAAAACAAAGACAAAAACTTCCATAAGAACGTGTTTCGTCTGTTTAGTGAGAATATAATCTAATCTACAACCATAGTTTATCCCAATCTTTAACTCTGCAAGTAGGTATAAGTGTCCATCGGTCTCTGGTCTACCAGATGCCTGATTCCCCTATCCCCTCGTCCTATGGACATCACCAGTCTTATGAAACAGATCGAGTGAAAACCCTGGCATCGTTCCGAGAAGTGCAACAATTGGCTCTATGAAGAAAATTAAAACAGATATAAAACAAGCCTATTCAACAAACCTATGATAATTTTATCCTGAATACATCTTTTCTTAAAATATTCATAATCACACGATGAACGCAAGAACATGCAACCAGTATCGAGAAATAGTCATCGTTATTTTCGTTCACATGTAAAATATTTATTGATTTGTAATGAAATTTTGTTGTAGTGCATATACCCTTTGGAACATCTGATGTTAACATCATAAGAAATGGTGTTTAGGTACAAAGAGTATTTCTCGATACCAATAGGTCAAACCTTTCTAATGAAGAACCTATTCAATAAAAACGGCGAATTAGTGAAACACAATTCAACATATCTGCAATATTATATTAAAACGCAAAAAAACACGTTATCAGAATATTACAAATTAGTTATTATACAAGAATTAATAAATCTCATCACGATTTCTTATCATACAGCATTAGCGTGTTTAAATTTCTTACAACAAATCATTGTGCACGTCAAATGGACATTCATAAGAATATTCTCACCAATTAAAGAATATGATGATGGTCCTGAAGAAGAGGGTCTTAGACATAAACAGATGCCACAAGTGGCCCTCTTTCACTTTTTCCACGGAGTTAGCGTCGAACATCTTATCGGGAACTGTTGTTTTGTTCACTTCCGCTGCACGCTTGACAATCACCTCGGCGGCCTCGTAGTGCCCCTTGCTGATCAACCATCGTGGCGATTCAGGAATAAACCTAGGACATATACATGCAGCCAGAACGCTTAAGAAAGTGTAATGGGAACAATTTTTCCTAACAGCACATAACTGCTCTATAGAAGAGACTCTGATTAGGTTTTATCTCGTAACCACTGATGGACCATGGGTATTGTAATTGGATGCCGGGGAATGGACACAGGGAGGGGTCGGCAGTATCGTTGTCAGCAGGGTTTACAAACACCAAGGCTTCTTACGTCATACTGGTCACCTTCGAAAAACAACGCGAGGTCTAATCGGTCATGTGTCCACAGAGGTTCATTTGTGTTTGCGGAATAAATGTACTGCTAATAAAATATATGATGTTTTGAATTGTTCGACAGAGTAAGGGCGATGTATACTGAATTCAAATAATGTCTTTTAACAATGTATTCTCTAAGTATTGAAAGTGTTTGTCTGATGATTTGTATATATCTATTTATCGCGTATTAGCATCAAGTACACTAAATCTTACGATGGATTGATAAGATTTTCACGATATTACTAAAACGTGAAAAATGCTGTCTATTGTTTTTACTGAGCCACCTATAAAGACATCTTTTATTTAACCTAATGGTGTATTTTATTCATAACACGACTAAATCTGACAATTTTCGACTAAGTTTGAAAATTAAAGTGACATAAGAATTCGAATCTAAATTCAATTTTGAAATACCTTTAAAAAAGGTTTAAGAGGTTAGATTCCTGAAAGTTACTATTGTAACACCTATCTATAAGATTATTCTGAAAGTTCAAGCAAGCAATATTTTTACTTCAAAATATCGATATTGTTTTGTTGAAGATGATGCGTTGAATTATGTTATACATTAGAAGAAAGCACGCAGAAACTCTCCAATTTATTACAGGAGATAATACAATGTTTGGCGAGCAATAACACCACTGAGACAGCGCAAATGTGACAGAAACAAGGCAAAGAATAAATAAGGAATGCCTCAAATAAGTGATGTATAAAAAAGCTTAATACAGTTTAAAGAACATTCGAAATCATAAGAAGAAATATACAAAAGTAAGTTAAAACATTCCATTTCCATCAAGTTTACAATGCGGCTAAAGTTTCGTAATGTACACGTTTCATTCTGTTACGAAGTTCACCAGTACATCAGGATATGTTTCTATATTACAGCATTGATGCAATACCAGGCATTACACTTAAAGTCTGTCAGAACAAATGGGGTACAATAAACCTTCACAGCTCAAGCAAATATGGCTGGTTTGTCATCGATTTTCTTGTTTTACATTTGATTCAAACAGCCTGCAATTTACATTAGGCAATACACACACTAACCGGTATTGTATGTTATCGGTACCATTGATCACAGGAATAACTCCCTTGGTTACTGACTCAAACTTTCCTTGGGAATTGTAGTAAACTAGCGGCGACAATTAATGATATATAAGCATACGACTAACGGACTTATTTGGCATTAGACCATACAAAACTCTAAAGAATTAATTATCTTAAACATGTTATCCGTTGGTCTTTTGGAGGCATTGGCTAGGGTAGAAGGCGATATGGAGATGATATCTGGAAAATATAAAAGTAGTTTCATGATGATTTGCATAAACACATTTTGCATATAAAAATACTTCAATGTTCACAAAAACGAGTTTATTTTAGCCACGATTGTGTATAACTGTTCTTCAGGAACTATTTAGGGGTAATTTCTCATCTTAATTAAATTAATTAGAAATCAATATAATAGGCAACAGGCGAAAACAACGACCATTACAGAAATATTTTATGTTGCACACCTTAGGTTTTTCTCAACTGTGATAAGTTAATTTTGCAGTAGAAGTTGCAATTGTGATCGTTATGTATATTGTGAACGATACGCGATTAACGACACCCCCACCAAACAGGCATTATGTCCTCACTTGATTTTCAATGTTCATTATTAGATTTGTTTTTGGAACTGAATATTCTTGGAGTCTTTTTTTTAAGATCGTTCGTCTTTAATGTGATTCCTCTCGTGACATTTATATTATATTTTTCAAACGAGGATATGTGCCTGGGTATTGAAACCTTTGAAAGGTAATATGGAATAGTTCCTGAGGTACAGCGGAAGGACATAAAATATAACAGTTACTTACCGTTGATATTGCGCCCTTTTATCAACAACACGATCACGGAACTGGGGTTTCCATTTTTACAGCGAGATACCTTACCTTTTTCAAAAGTCACGCCTATCAACTTTTCAAAATCAGAAACTTCAATTCAACTTCACTTCCTTTGTGAATAACCAATAAATCTACCATAGTAACTGAGTTTTTGTTAAAAGTCAAAAAACAGATTTAATGGATAACAAAGCAATTAAATAATGGCAAGGATTTCATGTTTCTTTTTGTTCCCGATAACATTTTCATTCAGATTTCTGATAATAAATTTGATCAAGCACATAAATTCAAGCAAAATAAATCTCCATTATAACAGTCAAACCTTACATTTTATAGCATTAATTAATGCAAGTAAATTATTCATCCATAAATGTCTTCAAGGTTAGATTGTGTACCGATATATTTGATGCGCTTCTTTGTAAAAGACAATGATAGAACTATTGATCACAATTTGTTTAAGAAAACACCGGTAGTTCAAAGTAGCAGCTGATAGAGTTGGCGTTTTAACTGCAAAATAAAAAGCTGTTATTCCGACAGACATTTATACTGCAAAATCAATAAAACGCCCTATCTTTTGAATTTGCAAAGTTCGCTGTGTTATATATATAGACTTGTTATTCGCCCATGCTTGTTTATCGATTGACTGGGGTTGAACTTTCAAAATTAAAGCGTATAACTCGGAAATTACTTTTTTCGAGTACGTTATCCTGTCGTGTCTGGTACAAATATATGCAAACAAATCCACCTATTTATAGAAAATTGCTATTCTTATTGAAACGATGAATGGTTTGCCACATTTTATTGCTTTGACATCTATGAAACCCTTTTAAAGAAAACAGTAATGACAATTTATTTCTCTCTATATATAGTTCTATGCGCTATCCAATAACAATGAGGCCAGAAAGAGTTTAATTTCAATCGTTTAGTTCTTGTTTTCTTCCATGGACTGCAACCATCATTTCTTCCTCGCCAAATTTTGAAAAAGAACCGATTTTTAATGGTTTATTTATCAGGTATAATTATTTATGAATTATCCACAGGTCTTTTTACATTAAATATTATCTATTAATTTGAATATTATGCAGAAAAACTTTAAATATAAGTTTTAATATATAATAAGAGAAAATATAAGTTTTAAAGTGACAATGTT